CGTTAAGTCGAAGTCTCCGGGTGTGGTCTCCCTAAGAAGGTCACCTGCTTCGGTTTGGAAACCCGAGCAGTATCACAGCCCTCACACAAATTTGATGAGATGACAAATATTTCACAAAATACTGTACTCGTTCCGATCAGAACTCAGACATTTCACTTTCACTTAAATCAGTAACATTAAATAAAAATGTACGTAGTAATTAAAAGCGAAGCCTATCAATATGTCTGGAATTTGAATAACAATCTTTAGCTAAGAACTATATAGTGGTAAAACAATCGGAAGGAAATTAAAGAGAAAATTTAATTAACAAATTTGTTGTAGTATACAAATAAATATGGGCTTAACTTGTAGTGGGATCATGTTCTGGAAGGAGATAGGGGATAAATTAGTAAACGATACGAATGAATGACACTGATTCACCACCCCGTCAGTCAGTAACAACGTAGAACTTCGAATCGCCACACCATATTAGCACATAGGTGCAGTTGTCGATTCAAATCCCGTAGTGGTAGAAGTATTGAGAGTATAAGAAGTAATCAGAAAGATTGGGGTTTGAAGATATTATTCAAGGAGTATAATCCAGCAAACGATTCTGAGCCATGTCATTCAGTCTCTAACCGTCACCACCCCGTAGATATATCTGGTGGGAATTCTTAATGCTGTGACATTGATTTTGCTTTTTACTATGTCAGATCAATTGTCGCTTGTCATTACCACCTGACATACCCTTGGTAGTGACAAGTAATGCCTCAAAATAGTGTTTCTATCGGGGTTGGCAAGACTACAATAGTCATATAAGTAACAGCATTATACCTACATTTATGAATTACAATTGTCCTAAATAACCTAAGATGAATTATGTATTCTAACTTGTGAATAACTGCTTTCAGGGATGCAACTATGACCACAGTTCAAATTTCTTTACCGGAAATCTAAGTAACAGAGATTCATGTGATCGTTTGACAAACGTATGACAGTATTTTATTAGCTCTTCTGAATATATTGTCTTTTCTCATGTGTAAAAGCACCAGTGTAACGACAACACTCATGAACCATGTGGGAAATTGCAAAAAAAATTGAGGAATATAAGAAGTGAAATACACCACTGAAAATTAAGTTTATAGTTTTAGGGTAACTTGAATAACTACGGATTCTTACACACACGAAAACTTTCGAATTCCATGAGGATAGTATCTTACATTTTCTGCAGTTTGCAAACACAAAACTGGAAAGTATTGACAAAACTGACAATGCCATACACCTACAATATAATATTCAATAGAAGCAGCTAGAAATAACATAATCAACTATATGATGCACAACAACAGCCTTTCGAACCCATTATTTATCTCTAAAGCTATCAGAAGAAATGTTTCAGTAATAGACATTCCATATACTTAAGATACAACTCCATCCCTCTTAATTCCTGATCTCATGAGATCGTTTGTAATGTTACTGCAGTAACATTACAAACGAATTCCTAGTGTTCTCAATTGAGAACTTTGAAGTCCTTGTTCTGGACAAAAGTACTGGATACATTACCGGGGTACTGAGTATATGTAACAAGAAAGTAAAATACTGATATAATTAAGTAGTAGTACATGGAGTCTCACATATGTATTGAACAATATTACCCACCACAATAAAGACTGGAGACGAACAGTATCAAGTAAATATGCCAAATAATAGACATCAATGTACGTAGATAAATAAGTTTTCCTTTGAAAAGGTAAGTTATAATTTCAAACCCACATTACCGAGAAAAGGGACCACATGGATACAAGACACACATTCAATCTATAAGTCAAAGCCAGCGATGTAGCACCGTCTACTGACGAAGGTTACTGAGCTTTTGTAGGTCAATCTGTTGTGCAACGATACGTGCGTCACCTCGACAAATCTCAAGGTTTTGTAGAAGCGGTCAATTCAAGACAACTTTGAATTTGATTTGAATTTAGGTACACTGTCTGGTAACATCCACCCGTCAAGTGATGAAAGTGATGCCATGTGGAAGACCTGCATGCTTTTTTCCAGTGGATGGTGGAATTCAGTGTGACAACTGCGATAAGTGGTATCACAATGTGTGCACCGCACTCACTCCGGCTGCATATAAAAAGTTCTGCAAGCCGCTGTCACGTTGGCTATGCAAAGAATGCTGTTCTACAAAGTCTCTGCTGATTCTTGAGGTGATTGAGCTACTGAACATAGCTATAAAATTGCCCTCAGATAAACAAACAGTAGTAGATGAATCGGATTCAGTTTTCAAGGAAATAGCGAGCGTTATCATGAACCCAGCTTTGGATTTGAGTAAGACCATCAGAGTGAACCCCATTAGAGGAACGGCTAAAATACATACAGATGCAGGCATTGTCACGTGAAAAAAGAAAAAGCATGGTGAGAAGAAACTACCTATTGACAGTACTAAGGTATGTGAATCTACGGTTTCAGTTCCAGATTCACATATCAGCGCAGAATAGATTATGGGAGAGCAAAGCCTAGGCAGTATGGATGACATAATTAAGAGATATAATAAGGTAAGTGATTAGCTCATAGTCACATCCAGAAAAAGAAAAGTAGGGAAACGGAGTGGGACATCTGTGCTTGACGCCAAATTGGTTTTCAGGAATTAAAACCCTACAGCGTGTTAAGACGGGCCTCATTGACATATCAGTCGCTTTTCATGCGTTAAGAGAACCTTCCGAAAGGGAACCAAAAGCTAGATTTGAGCACGATCTCCTGAGAAAAATTGCGCAATATATTGCAGCTCGACTAGCTATGATATTCAATATGTCACTTGACTAAAGTGTGTCACCTACAGACTGGAAGGATGCGATCGCCACTCCCATACATAAAACGGGACCATCACGACTTTCATCGAACTGCAGACCTGTCAGTCGCACCAGTGTCGTAGTTGAAATACTGGAAAGAATAGTCAAAAAGACAATAATGACATTTGTGAAAACCAACAACCTGTTAAACAACGAACAATATGGTTTCAGAAAAGGTTCATCCTACACAATAAACCTCCCAATAGCAAGAAAGCAATGGATAAAGGCTCCAGACAACGGAAAATCAGTGGATGTTGTCTACATGGACTTTAGCAAAGCATTTGATAAGGTGCTATTACAGCTGGAAAATCTCGTCATTGCCAGAGCTCTACTAAAATGGCTTAAGGATTTCGTAGTAGGTCATAGACAGAAAGTAAGAATAAGTTCAAATTACACCTCCTGAAAACCAGTACCTAGTGGGGTACCGCAAGAATCTGTCTTAGGTCCTTCACTTTTATACTGTATGTGGATGATCCCTCAAGTATAGTGGAGTCCTAAATGTTGATATACGCTGACGATGTGAAAATCTGGTGAGAAATACCAGGATACACAGATGCGTGCACACTTCGGGCAGACTTGCATATTCTGATTAGCTGGTCTAAAACGCGACTGACGCCTATCAACGAGGCACGGTGCGTCTACATGCACTTCGGGGATATAAAAGTTAACAGTCACAGCATAGCGGAAGTGCACTATCCGTGGTCTGGTCTTACAACAATTTTGGGGTGATGGTGAGTCATGATCTTAAGACCACAGCCCATTGCCGGGAGATTGCAGCTAAGGGGTTTGGAAGCCTACGGGCTTTAATACGGACATTTTTCGTGTCAGTAGGCAACCCTCGTTCTTTTGATAAAAGAAACCAGACTAGTAGAGAAAAGTTCTTCATTTAGATCTTTGTGCAGTCACAGTGGAAAGTGGGATTACCTATTCAAACACACAAATGTTTTCAACGTCCAACACAAGATAATAGGAAAAATAATGTCTATACAAATTAAGGAAGTGAATGAATACTTGAGCTCTATTGTTTTGACATATACTTGATCGTTCGAGGTCGATTCTTAACTAATAAACCTAAGCTGTTACACATTCACCAAGTTAAATACTGCCATACTCACTACGGTATACTCAACCTTAGTGAGAACTGAACTTGAGAACTGCGTTCAGGCTGCAAGCCCCTGTTTAAAAGGTGACTTGGATATCCTGGACAAAGTGCAGAGGGCAGCTACCCATGCAATTCCAGAACTCCGGAGTTTACCATACCAAGAGCGGCCTGAAAAGCTAGAGCTCTTTGCTCTGTCCTATGCCAAGTTAGGAGGTGATTTAATCTTGATGTATAGTTTACTAAGAAATGATTTTGGGCCTAATATACCCTCTCTTTTCCTTCACACTAGATCGAGACATCTCAGAGGACATAGCAGGCGAGTAGCAAGGCCTAGAACGAATGAAATACTCGTGGCATACAGGTGTACACACCGAGTCATCAATTCTTGGAACCTTCTACCCGAAGCTGTAGTGTCTGCTCTATCGAGAGAAGACTAAACACTCACAGAAGCATACTAGAAAAGGAATAACACAGGTCTCCTGTCTGTACTATGCAAACCTGAATCTATAAGGATGTATGACGTAGTTTCTGTTTTTAGCTTCAATTCGGAATGGACAGGAGGCTAGATGGCTTATGTTTTTCCTGACAATGTTGGGCTCTCATCTGACCAAACTTCATTTTGAAAGCGTCAACAGATGGAGCTGTAATCACATGTTAAGGTAATAAATTCCATTCATTGGCGATTCAATGTAAAAGTCCGTGGTCATCTGACACGATGTTTGTTCTGGACTTGCGAACGATTTTTGGAGTGCACTCGTAAATTCTCTGTTTCCGAAGACAATGAAAGCAAGGGCATATAAGATGTTAGGTAATTTAAATACTGTGGTCACATCGCCACTGGAAATAGGTTTAGTTTAGTAAGTAAGGTGTTATGACCTTGAATCGCTTTTACCCCGTGATACTTGTTATGACTTGACCTTGGTCGGTGTAGTCTAAATTATGACCTTGACGCGTTAGGCTGAGTGGCTTAACCTTGAGTCTAATATGCGTGAGTTCGAGATGGGGTAGAGAGAACTATTCTAAATCCTGATTGGTTGGCAAGCACACAAGTGAAAGAAGACAAGACAGTTGGAACACTAAACTCTGGATTCTCTGAATTCGGATTACTACAAAAATGTACATGAATAAATAAGTGCATATCTTGACCACGACGTAGGATAATTTGGAAAAATACAGTTATGCCCGAAACAGGGAATTAGGGTAGAAATTATAGTGCAAAATATAATGTTTAAATTACAATATTTTTGGAACAAAAAAGGGTATGCTAGTGAATGATACATAGAACGAAAGCTCGTGTTATGTAGAATAAGATAGGGACAAAAATAAATATAAGTGTTTTACAGGTTTTGAATGAAATGCAATAACGTCCCAAGAAAATAGCTTTCGTAATTGTCTGGGCTTCTTAATTCCCCGTTCATAACACCTTCCCCCTTTAAAAAAAAAGAAAAAAAATATGGTTAGTTACTATATACAGGTAAGTGCTGAGATATCATCATTGATATCTTCCTTCGGAAACGTATGTTCTCCTCTTTGGGTCTACCTGTAGAATATCTGGTCTTCTGCGTTTCCGTGATGCTTTCCTAATAGGACTTTGTTCAGGTTGCGTGGTCTTCTGAGTCGCTGAGCATTTTATGTCAAAACTGTCCAGAATGATTCTCCACATTGAGTCTAATTTCTCGGTTTTCTGTGAAGTGCCAGCATTTTCCAGTATGTGGTTGACATGGCGTGTCCACTTCTGTCCTTCAACTTCCACCACATACATTACGTTCCCTTGTCTCTTAAGTATGCGTCCACTGGTCCATTGTGGAGGTGAATATCGGAAATCGCGGACGTATACTTTTTGATTTTTCTGGAAAATTCTGCGTTTCGCCCCATGATGGCGATCAAATTGGTTTTCCATCTTTCTGTTTCTTTTTCCGATGTCTCTTTGCTGTGGTTTCATGGCATCGAGGGCAGTTCTTACTTTTCTACCAAACATAATTTCTGCTGGGGACATTTGATTTGGTGTTGATGGGTTTGGAGTTGTTCTGTAGACCAAGAGAAAGTCATCAAGAATCTCCTCTATCTTTCCCTCCCCTTTTGCCTTCAGTAGCGCTCTTTTGAAGGTATCTACAAACCTTTCGGCCTGACCATTCGATTGTGGATGGTACGGAGGTGATCGGACATGTTTGACTCCAAACCTCTTGCAGAAATCTGAGAAGATGGAAGAAATAAACTGAGTGCCGTTATCTGTCACGAGAACATCTGGAACTCCAAAACGGGAGAATAACTGCCGTAGCTTCATGATAGTCTGTTGCGAAGTGATTTGATTTATAGGAAAAATCTCCGGCCATTTTGAATAAGCATCAACACAAACGAGGAAGTACGTACCCTGGAATGGGCCAGCAAGATCAACATGTATACGCGACCAAGGTTCTTCTGGAGATGGCCAGGAATGTAGTTCAGCTTTTCGTGGACACTTAGAAACCTCAGCACATTTTCTGCACGCACGCACGAAATCTTCGATGTGTTCATCGATATTAGGCCAATATACATAACTTCGAGCAATAGCTTTCATTCTTCCAGTACCTGGATGGGCTGTATGCAGTTGTTTCAGGACGAGTGAGCGTAAGTTATACGGAACCACTACGCGATCAGCAACCATAATACAGTCATTTACGATGGATAAAGATTGGCGTCGTTGATAATACTGTTTCAGTTCATGAGATGTTATACGTGGGGGCCAACCACGCTGGATAAATGTAGATAATCGTCTTAAGATAGGATCGCGGCGAGTGTGTTCAGCGATTCGAGCAGCTGTCACTGGAAGAATTTGTGTTGAATTAAACAACATTCTGCTTACATCTTCTTCCACTGATATAGAAGCGATAACAGTATCTTCGTTTTCAAGCTTATGATTGCTTATTAAGCGCGATAATGCATCAGCATGGCCAAAATCAGAGGTAGATTTGTATTTGATAACGAAATCATAACCCAATAGCATTGTAGCCCATCGTTGGAGGCGGTTTGCGGTATAAACTGGTATACCTTTCTTAGATCCGAAAATTGATAATAGGGGTTTATGATCAGTGATTAAGGTAAATTTTCTGCCATGCAGCATCTTGTGAAACTTTTTTACTGCGAAAATTAATGCCAATCCTTCTTTCTCAATTTGGCTGTACTTGCGTTCTGCTGAAGTCAATGTTCTGGAAGCATGTGCGATAGCCTTTTCTTTTCCATCTGGAAACTTATGGGATATGACGGCACCGATACCATAGTCAGAAGCATCTGCAGCAACAACGATTTCCAGCGAGGGATCAAAATATGTAAGAAGTAGATCCGACGTTAATAATGACTTTACTTCGTCAAAACATTTTTGACACTTAGTGGACCAATTCCATTTTACATTACTGGATAATAATTGGTTCATGGGTGCCCGGAGGCGATGCAATTGTGGCAAGAAATTACTGTAATAACTGATAAGACCAAGGAAGGAACGCAGAGTTGCTACATTAGATGGGGGAGGCATATTTTGGATAGCTCGTACATTTTCCGGATCCGGGCGTCGTCCATTTTTGTCGAAAACAAAACCAAGATATTTCACCGAGTTCATGAAGAATGTACACTTCTCTTCTTTTAGATAGAATCCACACTCAGATATTTTGGTTAAAACAGTATCGAGTCGATTGAATAACTCGGACTTACTGGAACCTGTAACGATTACATCATCCAAATAGACAGCGACTCCTGGCAAATTAGCCAACATAGTGTCCATTATTTGTTGAAAGATAGCTGGTGCTGGTTTCACACCAAAAGGTAAACGCTTATATTGGTAAAGACCTCTGTGGGTGTTAATCGTCAGTAATGGTTGGGAGGCTGGATCGACTTCTATCTGAAGATATGCGTCAGCAAGGTCAATTTTAGCAAAATACTTTCCTCCATTTAGTTTGATGAATAAATCTTCCTGTATGGGAAGTGGATACGTGTGATCTTCTAGAGCACTATTCAGACCAGTGGAAAAGTCAGCACATATGCGAACAGTTCCATTTGCTTTTCTCACGACCACTATGGGGGCAGCCCACGATGAATAATTTACTGGCTCAATGACACCTAGTGCTTCTAACCTGTCCAATTCTTGGTCAACGACTGACAGAGCAGCATAAGGCACTGGTCGTTTCGGTCTGAAAATGGGCTTTGCATTTTCCTTTAGTGATAAGGATACTTTGGTGAATTTATAACAGCCCAGTTTGTTTTGAAATACACATGCATGTTTTTGTCGAAGATGATTTATGTAAGATACGGACGACAATTGAGAGGAAACAGAAGACTTTGATGTAGACATAACATTAGAACGAAGTACATGAGATTCCGAAGTTTCACTAGCGCATACTTTGTCTGAAGTATTCGATTTGGAAATTTTATGAGAAGGCAATGAATCGGCGGTATTTGATTTGACATGGTGAGAACACATAACATTTGAATTGTTTGATTCAGAAAGATCATAAGAACATGTTTCATCAGAAGCATTTAATTCGTTAATATCCAGAGAGGATGATTCGTCGGAGGCATTTGATTTAGAAATATCATTAGGGATTTGGATAGAATCATAGGAAACATTTTGAGAACATACCTCATCTAATAATTTATTCAAAGTATCAACATGTGCAATCCAATCTAATCCCAATAGATCTAAATCGTGTCGATTTGTTAGATAACAAACATCTGTAAATTTACTTCCCATAAGTTGAACATTGCATAGGACCTCTCCTGTCAACTTTACTATGTCTCCTGACGCATTTCGGGCGACATGTTCCGTCGGTCGGATGGATGGGCATCCTAACTTGTGCCATGTGTTCTTTGAAATCAACGTGACATCAGAAGCAGTGTCCAACTGAAGTCGTATAAGTTTTTCATTTACTAATAAATTTACGAATTTCCGCCTACTTTTAAATCCAACTTTAAAGGTTGCAAACGTGGTTTTAATTTGACTGTCTGATCGTTGCTTTGAATTTTCACTACGATGTTTAGTCTTGCGTTTATTTAACGAACAATGACCTTCTTTGTGGCCAATGCGATGACATTTGCGGCATTTATGATTCTTAAACGGACAGAATTTTGCAAAATGCCATGCTCCGCAGAACCAGCATGGTGATGGGGGGTTGGCAGGTTGTTTCCTGCTTGTACAGTTTTGTTTCGATGATTTTATGGATCGGAGCGCATTAATTGAATCAGAACCGGAAGGTTTAACCTTCTGTTGCACCATCGCAGTGTCATGCTTGAGATTAAGTAACCGCTGACATTCGGTTGTAACCATTTGTAATGTCATATTTGGTTCTTGTTCAATGCGTGCCAACATCCTGGTACGGACATCTGCATCTTCTTCATTCTTTAGACCACATATGAAAATCAAGCATTTAAATTGGTCCGCTGTGATTTCGTTTATTTTGAAGCGTTCGCACTGTCGATTTACCTTCCCGGCATACGTGAGATAATCGTCCTCTGGAGATTTTGTTATTTGGAAACATTTATAGCGAGTATTAAATAATGAGGACTGTTCATCGAAAATATCAGATAAAATCTGGACTGTATCTTTGAATGATACATCTCGTGGATTTTGCGGCAAGATAAAATTCACATATTTATTATATTCCTGTGTTCCCAGTCTTCTTAAGAGTAAGCGGACTTTCGCTGCGTCATCAAGATGCGAGCATTCAACGCGGAAAATATCTTCACAACGGTGAAACCACGAACTGAAAATGATATTAGCTTCAGGATCATACTGGAATTCAGAAATAGAATTTATGATGCTTTCATGCTTATCTGATTGACAAGCTGAGGACGACTGTAATGAGAACATTCGTGCCAATGCATCCAAAAGCTTCATTTGATTTGCATCATTTTGTGCTTGCTGCATTTGAAGAATAGTTTTAAGGTCATCCAATGAAACAGGCATTTTGTACTGGATCAATCAATATAGGAAAGAAAAAAAAATTCTCCGTCGCCAGTTGTTATGACCTTGAATCGCTTTTACCCCGTGATACTTGTTATGACTTGACCTTGGTCGGTGTAGTCTAAATTATGACCTTGACGCGTTAGGCTGAGTGGCTTAACCTTGAGTCTAATATGCGTGAGTTCGAGATGGGGTAGAGAGAACTATTCTAAATCCTGATTGGTTGGCAAGCACACAAGTGAAAGAAGACAAGACAGTTGGAACACTAAACTCTGGATTCTCTGAATTCGGATTACTACAAAAATGTACATGAATAAATAAGTGCATATCTTGACCACGACGTAGGATAATTTGGAAAAATACAGTTATGCCCGAAACAGGGAATTAGGGTAGAAATTATAGTGCAAAATATAATGTTTAAATTACAATATTTTTGGAACAAAAAAGGGTATGCTAGTGAATGATACATAGAACGAAAGCTCGTGTTATGTAGAATAAGATAGGGACAAAAATAAATATAAGTGTTTTACAGGGCTTGAATGAAATACAATAACGTCCCAAGAAAATAGCTTTCGTAATTGTCTGGGCTTCTTAATTCCCCGTTCATAACATAAGGCATCATACGGTGCTTTACTATTCCGGGGATAAACTTAGTTACTATTCTCTGAACCTTTTTCATTTGCTCACTTAGGGGGCTAGCTGCTTGTATGCAGAACACAAGTTTAGGACTAAAGAATACTGTATGCCAAGCCAAAAAGTTTTTACCATCGATTTGGCTAACGGCCCTATGTATTGACCATGGGGTTGTAAAGTCTTTGGCGGTTATTGCTCTGTAGTATGCAGTAGTTTTTAGATCTTGGCTAACAATGACTCCCAAGTGAATATGTGTCTAGACAACAGATAGTCAACTGTTATTCACTGTTTATTTACCTGTACCTTGATGACTAATATACATCACGATGCACTTGGAAGCATTTATCAGCAACTGCCAAATTTTAGACCAGTCAGGCAGTTTCTTCAGGTTATTTTAAACCCCTAAATTATCACCTTTACTTTTATCGCTCTTCACGTCTTGACATCATCAGCATATAGCAAGACCGATGATGATAAGAGACGGGGAGGTTGACTTACATACAGGAGGGGCTATATCGACCCCCAAACAGTATTCCGGAGCACTCCGCTAAGCAAAGTTTCCCAGCTAGATAACTTTCACTTCACCGGTACTCCATGTTGGCGTCAAACTGAGAAGTCTCTTATCAATGCATGCAATGTATATAGGTAACATTTGGTCTCTAAGAGCACATCAGCTTGCACGGGCTACTAATGTAGACTTCAATGTTAAAAATATCTCCAAGGCAATTAGTATGCTGAAACACTCCTACACTGATGGACCAGATGGTATTCCAGCTGGTATGCTAAAACGTAGAGGTGATGATATGTGTGTTTTGCTTCTCAAACTATTCGCGATATCACTCTCTACAGCGTGTTACCCTACTGCCTGAAAAACTGCACATATCATCCCCAAAATTAAAACAAGACCTGAAGCAAATGTTGACAATTACCGGCCCATAAATATAACTTCAGTGGTATCTAGAGTGATGGAAAAAGTAGTTAAGGCGGCTGTAGTTCAACATTTAGATACTAATAATCTCATCTCGACCTCCCAGCATGGATTTCTTAGGTCAAGATCATGCGATACACGCCTAGTAGACTACCTGAATGATATAACTCTGAAACGAGAAAATGGACTCCTTGCATCAGTCCTATTCTTCGACTTTGAGAAAGCCTTTGATAAGGTCCCACATAAAGGGCTTAACGTCAAACTAAAGTCCCTTGGAATAAATAACCCACCGTACTCATGGTTTGCTTCGTTCTTAACATAACGTCAACAGATGGTAAAGTATAATGACTGTCTCTTATCACCCAGGCAAATAACTAGTGGAGTAATCCAGGGGAGCGTATTAGGTCCACTCCTGTTTCTCATGTACATAAACGATATACATAACATCATAAAATTTGGGGAACCATACTTATATGGTCATGATCTCAAAGTAGTATACGGCTATAAGCCTGAGACTCTAGGCAAAAGTGTGTCCCAGATCCAAAAGGACCTCAATAACTTAACCATATGGAGTGAAAAAGGGAAATTACCATTTAACCCTAACAAGTGCGGGATCTCGCGCTTTGGAAAACATCCTTATAATCTGCAAATTCATTTAAATAAAAGTAGAGTCCAAACACTCAACTCAGTACACGATCTAGGAATTAACTACACAGGAAGCCTGAACTTTGGAGAACATGCCTTCTCTATTATTTCTAAATCTAGACGGCTAATTAGTTTAACAACGAAAAATCTCTTCACAGCAGAGGCTGGGCTTACTCTCTACAAAATATGTGCACGACCTTCCCTCGAATAGTGCTCTCTTGTTTTCTCTAATATGAATATCACAGACAAGGTAAGGGTAGAAGACGTTCAAAGAAGCTTCACACGCCAACTCCTGGGATGTAACTGGAATCTCGATTACACAGATAGATGTAAGCACCTCACCTTAGAAACTTTATGGCACCATAGGCTAAGGTACGACCCAATATTTCTCAACAAATCGATATACGGACTCTCATTTCTAACCTCCTGACCGACTATGACCCACGACCAAGCCTATAGACTAAGAAACAACGCATATACACTAATTACCGTAAAACACCACAACCAAATGCGTTGTAAGTTTTTTATAGTACGGTATAGTTTATTGTGGCACAGGCTGCCAATGCCTATTCGAAACTGTGACACATTTACCAGATTCAAAAAGCTAATAACCCTGTTTCTAGACTCTAAAGAGCTTCAACTTTTCCATGAACTCCCACCCACCAATGAGGCACTTTATTATGGACCACCCAATATCTGGAAAGAACAAGAATATAGCGAGCCTGACCGTTATTAATATGAATATAAATGAATTACAGAACATACGGCTTTTCCTTTCTTATTATTCATTGTTTATTAATCATGACCTCATGTACCTAACCCTCACTTTCAGTTACCAAATCACTCTAAAGGTTAAATATACATTATTCTTCCTAAGTGTCATGCCTTTTTTCTATTGCAGGTAGACAGATAATTCACTAATCCTATGGATGCTGATCTACTAAGGCCGATCATACTAAGCTCGAAATTGGTCATATAGTCTTGTGAGTTGCCCAATGTTTTAGTTTCCTTACCCTAAATTTTTTTACACTTGTATACTCTTTCATATTCTTTGATTTGCTATTATTCCTTATTTTCTTTAAACCATTATTTATCTTTATAGCAGTGTGATATACTAAACAGACATCTAACCCATAATACAAAATCTTTAACTATCTGATTCGCTTGTAACATGGAACTAGTAGAGACAGTGTATTCCAACCATGTACTTTGAATAAAGCAGTATTCATATTTACCACAAACGTAAGAGAGCCTAACATCACAAAAAGGGGGAGGGTGGCGTCACTGACCAGCAAACATGATGGTGGGGAGATAACTTCAATCCACCCATGTATGTAGGACAGAACATTTTGTTTAGTTACGGCTCCTTATGGTCTAGTGGGATGTCACGAACTTATGGTATTGATGCTGATTCATCATGCAAAATACCCCATTAAATAGTATTTAGAACGTTGAATTGGTTTCACTTCCTACCCAGTGATCCTATTACAAGCAAACTAGACAATCCACTAAATACGAAGCCTACTCAAGACCCTATTAAATCTACAAAAAAATTAAATAAATAAATAAAAAGGCTCCAATAGCTTCGAAAAAAGGGAGATAGGCGATCGTGCATCACAATACTGTTTTTAGCACTATATTTTATAACTACATATAATTCCACACTCTCATCTCCTTTCTGTAACACCTACATTTGTCGGATGTTTATTCACTCATACATATTTCACACTTATTTTCTTTGACCTATTAGAATGCTCTTGGCTAGTAAGTACTCTAAGAAAAGAAAATCAGACTGAGTAGCCATACCTTAAATTTTCTTTCAAGAACATTGGCTGCTCGGCCTCTCGCCCTTTCTTTTTCTTGCTCCCTTTTCCAGCCCCCTTGAGACATGAAACGAGTGACTTCGTCCTGCACCATCATTAAAGCCTCAGGTATTCCAGAGTGATATAACGTTGCGATTTCTAGAAGCTCCCAACTTCAATGGATCTATTCTCGACCATCAGTTGCACGTCGCAACGCAACTTTCATAAAGCGTGCCAACTGTGATACTGACTAAAACCATCTACATTCATATCTTATAAATTATCAACCCAGCTGAGTAACTTACTACAGTGGAAATTGTATCATTTGTAACAATTTGATCTTGCCCGTAAAATGGCACGCCTCATATAACAAACTGTTATTTGAGAATAAATTATTATTAAGTCAGTGAGATAGGAATAATCTGTTCCCAGTTTACGTCAAGATACTCGTCCCTAATAATCTTTTCTAAATTTCAATAACCATGCTTTTTAGGCTAACGGATCTGTAGTTCTCAGGTTTATACTTTTCACTGGTTTAGAGGATAGGATGTGATACAGTGTTCTTTCACTTTTTTCGGCAATCGACCCTGAGATATGGATGAATCTAAACATATGCTTAAGGAATTCGAGACAAAATTTGCTTATTCCTCTAGTAATCTAGGTTGCATCCCATCCAGTCATATGGTTCTGTTTCCATCAATCTCATTTAGCATACCAAAGACATCGAGTTCGTTCACGGTTGCAGTCGCCAATATGTGTGGAGCCTGTATGAATAGAAGGGGAGGCGACCTATGCGGTGTATACATTTCTATAGTAGTCCGAAAATACCTGAACTTTACCATAATCATCCCCCGCTAATAAAGCCGTGCTACTGTCACTCCATAATGCTGGAATATTTCCTCTCCTCTTATTCCTTTGGTTCATGAACGAGCATAAGCGATTAGAGTAATCTTTTGGGTCCTTGATAAGTTTTTCTTCGTACAAACTTCTAGACTTGCTGAGGATCATGGCACAAATATTCCGAGCTTCGTGATATTGAGATTTTGTCTCGTCAGTATTCAGCAACCTAAATCTCCCCTATATTCTTTTTTCTTGTGGAGAAGGATGTAAACCTCTTTAGTGGACTACGACTCGTTGGTATATTCCAAGGTATGTGCAATGGAGTAACGTTCATGTACATATTTTCGAATACACCTTAAGTGGTTCCAGTGGATGATTCTGGTCTTGTTTTCCAGTTTACTTGGGATGTTGAGTGTATGATATCCAGTATGTTTACTTTCC